TCAGGGGTTGGAACTAGGTGATCTTAAAAGTCCCTTCCAACCCAAACCATTCTATGATTCCATGACTCTAAAAGATTAATTTAAAATAGATACTTTTTTTTTTTTTTTTTTTTTTTTTTTTTTTTTTTTTATTCAGTATCTATAGTGCTATGGGAAGATACTGCTGGAAAAAGGTTGCAATGGCAGATACAGCTGAACAAATTAAGATTACAAACAACAAAACCACTGTGCTGAGGGTTGGGGTTGTGTTACTTTTTCTTTCAGTCCCATGTTATATAACTACATTGCTTACTCCAAAGCTTGTGTTTATAGAAAACAACCTGACAGTTTCTGAGCATTTCTACTAACAAGATTTTAAGAATCAGATTCATTAGTCTGTGCATTTCTATTAGATTTTACAAAACTGAAAACTGATGGATGTTCTAGTCATAGGTATTATGGTAGGAATGAAGGTCATATAAATCTTTACCTTGTTTTTCTGGAAAGTGTTGAATAGTAGATACTTGATGATATTTTACTTTCATGACATGGGAATTTTCAGGCATGAGAATAATCCATCAACCTGAAAAAAGACAAGTGAGAAACTATTTTCCCTGTGTCTTGGAGAGGCTGTAATACTTGTGGATAGTGGACAGTGTTATATCTGCCTTCCTTCTTATCTATGGCTATTCAAAGACATGTTACCTTGACTCATTTCTGTTTAACCCATTGCATCTTCTTACATCTTAGAGAGAACAAATAAGTAATATTTAAAAGTTACATACTTACATTACAAACAAAATAACCCAAACTGTTACTTTATCAAGACAAAAGCAAAGGTCTGTGTGGCAAGATCTTCTTCTATTGCAAAGTAATATGAACCATATAATAATCTCATTTACACAGATGAAAGATGCAGGAAAGGTCTGGATGCGTAATAGAAACACAAAACCTTGTGGATTTTTTTATTTGTTTGTTTACATTTATCTTTCAATCATACCCTCTTAATATGGGTACTTGAAATGTATGGGTGCTTCTGCAGGTTGCCTGATAAAATTATTTGGAAATGAGCTCAGCATTTCTAGAACTGGAACATCAAATAATGGAAACAACTGTTCATTCCATCAGAATTTTAAAGAGAATTATTCTAAAATGAGAACCCAGAATAATCTCTAAGTATTTGATACTGAGTTAACTTGAGGAGTTTTGATACCTGATATGAAGCACAAGCCTTTCAAGCATTTTTAAAAAGGGAGGGAAATTACGTTAAAAATGGCAATAAAGACAAAAAGGTAAAAACAAGTGTTTTATTTCTTGATCTCTCTAATACTTTTTAAATTTTTATTGTAAATTGTCTTTAAAGGAAAAAGAAAGGAAATGTTTTAGTTCTATACCATTTGCTTACCTTATCCCTTCGTTTGTTAACATTACATCTGTTGCTTTTGCCAGCAAGCATGCACATTGAAAACTGTCCAAGAGAGCTGCTTGCCTATTCTTTGCCGAGCATGTCTCCTTTAGAAGTGACCTTGCACAAAACCAATGTCTGATGTCCCTTATGTGAATGCATCAATGCAGACAAATCATGAAAGTAATATACAAAGTTAATCACTGATACAGATCAAGTAAGAGAATTTAATCTACATTTTTCTCTATTATTTCTCTGTGTATAATCCACTCACAGCAGAAAAGAATTATTCTTTTTTTTTTTTTTTTTAATTTTCTGTTTTGTTTTGGTTTTTTTTCTTAAGAATCAGTCATTGGTTTTTCTATGCTATTAAACAGTATCAAGGTAATTTAATGTACATATACAACTAAATGACATAAAGAAAATAATGTTACTTTTCATTTTATGTAATACTTGGTTAGAAATATTTTGATCATTAAATTCAGATTGCTATGTGTAAGAAGCCAAACATACAGACACATCCATTTTATTTTCTGCTACCCAGTGGAAAAAATGTTAAAAATAGTGCATATTATATAGATTTTCTAGCAAATATATTTATCTTTGTGCTAAATTTTCAAAGTGTACTTCGGATAAACACATCACTTTTATAGACAGCATCATTTCAAGGCTCCATTTGGATGCGAAGAACCTTTCTTTTTTAGAGATACCATGATTTAAAGCATTTTTCTTTCACTTATTTTAATATCTGTAATGAAAATGCTGCAACATGTTCTGAATTGATGAATATTTTGCATGGGTTTATGTAGATTACTACTAGTAGAGGAGAAGTAAATATGCTTTATATTTTAGACATCATACTGTAGAATTGTTGAAGGCAAGATAGTTCTGTGTTTTGCTGAAGATGTTTAAGCTGACATAATAGGTATAGTCCTATCTCGGTAAAACTCATGATGCAAGAAATATAGTGTGTACAATACAAATACCCTGATGAAAAATTGGCAGTTGAAGTTTTTCTTCTAGTTGGTTTTCATGGTTTTAAAATGTGACAATTTTACTGTACCTGCACCTCTCACTACAGAGACCTGCAACACAACCAAATGCATCTGAGACTGATATCTTTGGTATTCCTGAAAAAACATTTATTCTTTCTTTTCATTTTGTTTTTAATATAAATTCTCTGGACTTAAGTAAAGGAATTTTTCAAATATCTGTTTCTCTTGAACTGCCCATATGCATTACTATCTTTAAGTTGAAAACACTGAGACTAAAACTAAGCCCAGACAGGTTGTCTTACCAGTCCTTCTAGAGGGAGGGCAATCGGAATATTTTTGGCCAGCATATTCTTAGCCAGAATTTTCCAAGTTGTACCTGGAAAATAAAAGCAAAATACACTTGAATGTAGGGTTTATCTTATACCACAAACAGTGGTGGAGATGATCTAGACAGTAAGATCCTCTTACTAAAAGTGGAGGTGTTGGCCTGGAAGGATGCAGCAGAGTACACAGTCTCACAAAATGATAGGCCAAGCAGTGAAAGAAAAAACTGCTATTGGAAAAAAAGTGTGGAAAAAAAAAACCCAAATCAAAATAACAAAAATAAAGACAGCTGGCTGTTTAGTGTCACTAGTGAAACATTACATCAAATGTTAAGTGATGTAAGTTAGAGCAGCTGCTGCCTGAAGCAGCTTCCATCCTGTTGTAACTATCCCACAGCAGCTCCAGCCCAGATGCTGCCTGCAGCAGCCCTGCACACAGGACCCCAGACAAAAAGGGCACAGCCCATCCCCTCCCATTCTGGGGCTGGAAGAGCCAGCAAGCCCTGCTGCAGGCCCACATGCAACATCCCTGGGACGTCACCAGCACTCACACACTCACCACCCCCAGCACAAAAAGCACAACCCCTCTGCCCACACCCCGGGCCTCTCAACTGTGTGCACCCCCAGCTGCTTTATGCTCCGAGTCTGACACCTGTTGCTGGCACCCAGTCCATTAAAGGGGAGAAGCTGCGCATGAGGGAGGGGCTGAGTTGTACAGAGTTCCTGCTTGGCAATGATGTGCTTGAGAGTCTCTGGGCAGGGATAAAAGGACAAGTAAGTAAAGCAGATGTTGTTGTTCAATAGTCATCCCACCCAGGCTGAAAACATCAGTGAATTATTCTTAACAGTTCTAAGAGATACCTTGAGATCAGCTGCCCTTATCCTTATGGGTGACTTAAAAACCACAATATGTAACCTGGAAACACCACAAATTCAGATAGATCAAGGAGATTCATAAAACAGCTTGCAGCACTGTACAGCACGGACAAAGGCACTGGTAGCAACAACAATACAGAGATTTTTTGGTAATATTGTTCTCCTCGGTCTGACACAGTCTGAGCCCCTGAGGGCTGAATGTGCCCCAGCTGCAGGCCTGGCCCTGTTCTTGCCAGCTGCCGGGGTGGTGTCCTAGCGCTGCCAGCGGGCTGCAGACACTAGGCGTCCTCATGCAGGGGAACTGTTAGGTCATGGTTTGGTGATTTTCTGTTGTCAGTATGCCACATCAGAACATCACGTGGACCAGTGGGAGTTAAAGAGTTAATATTCTGGTCCCGCTGACTGTCCCTTATGGGCATCGTTTTTCTTTTCCTTTTTCCCAGGGTCTGTCACGGGCTTCCCTGTCATGGACTTCTGTCTAGGGATAACCCCTTACACCTAGGAATAGGCAGGAGAGCGTGTCTGGGAGCCAGGAGTGCTGCGTGGCCAGAGAGCCCCTTCTCCACTTGAGCGAGTGCCATTCCTCCCCCTGCATGTGACTGTGGCCTACTTGCAAATACTTTGCTGGGTATTGACAAGAGCCTGTCACAAGCAATTTAGCTTCTTCATCAGCAGAGCACCTCAGAAAACCTGCGCCCAAGCGAGCTCAAAGTGAGGAGGGGGACACCTTCCCAAACAACCATCAAAGACCCTGAAACCTCTGCGCAGGCGCAGGAGGATCAGTTATGCCTGTGTAACCTTGTAAGCACGTCGTGTATCAATGGGAGCAGTGTGGAGTGAAACATTTGGGACTGTCAGTAGAAGACAGTGTAAGGACATGGCTGTGTTTGATGGGTGGAGATGAGCCACCTCGTGCCCTGTGTAGAAATAAAGCAGTGCCTGCTCTCTGAAGGTTTGCCTTTGCAGTGTGTTAAGGGAGGTTCTAAAGAAACGGTAACAGCAGTGTGGGAGGCCTCCAGGCCCAGCAGAGGTCTGACCTCCCCCGTGCACAGCGCTGACAAAGGCACTGGTAGCAACACGGAGACTTTTCTGAAATTTTATTGCAGAGTCAGCTCTTTGAAAGGGTAGATAACAGCAGGACAAGGGGAGATGATGTGAAGTTGAAGGAGGGAAGATTTAGGTGGGATGTCAGGGGGAAGTTCTTTACAGGGAGAGTGGTGAGGCTGCCCAGAGAAGTTGCGGATGCCCCGTCCCTGGAGGTGTTCAAGGCCAGGTTGGATGGGGCCTCGGGCAGCCTGGTCTGGTGTTCCGTGTGGAGGTTGGTGGCCCTGCCTGTGGCGGGGGAGTTGGAGATTGCCGATCTTTGAGGTCCCTTCCAACCCAGACCATTCTGTGATTCTGAGAGTCTGACAGCTGGTTGTGCCCCAGCTGCAGGCCCGGCCCTGTTCTCACCAGCTGCTGGGGCGGTGTCCTAGCGCTGCCGGCGGGGTGGCCTCTTGGCAGGAGGTGCAGGGGCCTCAGAGTCGTGGGCCCTCCTCTTCGGGGCTCGCCGAGGCGCCCTGCGTGAGCGCTCCCTGGCCCTGTTGGTGCTGGAGGGACCCGGCACTGCCTCCCCTGGCTCCTCCTGGGCTGCTTGTTGGCTAGTCCGCAATGGAGCCGGGAGGGATGGAGGCTGGCTGGGCCCCTCCCTGAGGGCAGCGGCTGAGGGCACAGGAACGTTGTCTTCGCCGGTGCTGCTGGAGGGCCGTGGACCGGAGACAGGTGTCTGTGCCTGGGAGGCAGCTGCACCATGGGCAGCTGCGCGGCTGCCCTCCTGTCCCGTGGCAGCGCGGGAGGCCTCCGGGCCAGTGGGTGGCACCAGCCCATTGCACACATATCCAGCTTGCACGACGAGCCGTCGCACAAAGCCGGCGGTCTGGCTTCGCATGGAGCTGAGCAGCCACAAAGTCAGCGCTCCCCCGTCCAGACCAAAGAAGCACAGGCCAGAGATGACGCGGCGCTGTGCTGCAGCGGCTGCCCTGTGGTCAGCCCCAAAGAGCTGCCCCAGCTCCTGGCGCAGCCAGGGCAGCAGGGGCCGGAGCACAGCTGGAGGCTGGCGGGAAATGGGCACCGCCCCTGGCTGCTCTTGTGCTGGTGCTGCCTGGCGGGGTGCTGTTCTGGCCCTCTCCTGCTGGCCGACGACAACCTCTTGAAAGCTGTCGTCGGCACGCACTGAGTGCAGGATGGACTCCACCCTGCGTTTGCAGAGGGGGCACGTGGGCCTGCTCTCAGCCCACCGCCGGATGCAGCCAAAGCAAAACTGGTGCAGGCATGGCATCACATGGCTGGCGTCATCCATGGTGTCCAAGCAAATGGGGCAGCGACGGTCCAGCTCGGTGGCCATGCTGTCCAGCTGCTGGGTGGACAGGAGAGCAAAGGGGATGAGGGGCTGCTCCTCACCCCGCTGCTGCAGCAGCAGGGGTCACGCTAGGAAAAGAAGAGAGGCCACGGTCACTCGCTGAGCCCACCAGCGGAGGAACAAGTGCCCGGGTCCCTCAGGAAGGAAACCCTCCCAGCTGGGCCACCCAGGCTGAGGCGTCCCCTTACCGGTTCCCTTTGCTGCTGCGGCCTGCTGTCTGCCCCGGCTGCCTGAGCCAGGCAGGGCGGGGAAGAAGCTCTAGTGGCTCTGGGGACGAGCACTGAGAGCGGCTGTCGGCAGCTCCCAGAGCACGAGACCAGCACCAAGGCTATCCTTGCTACTCGCTCCAAACCTCACGGACACGCTCGGCTGAAGTGCGGGCACAAGTGAGAGTGAGAGACTCTGTGCCCGGCTACAGGCAGCCAGGGCCAAGAGGTCACAATCCCCTGCTGCGTATGTCACTATCCCTCACGTAGGGGAGCGGTGCCAGTGACGTCACAACGGTCATCTAAGCAGCACTCTAAGCCCAGCAATGGCATCCGGCTTTTCTGCAGTGCCTCTGCGCATTCCATTCCCATTATTATGTCTACTTGCTATTGGCATTGTGCAGTAAGGCTGGAGCACTTGTCCTGCAGAAAAGGCTTGTGTGGCCAGGACCAGTTCAGCATGTTGCAGAAAAAGGGAAGAGGCAGTTGATATGAACTGCTATTGGTAGGATTAGGCTGGAGACAGACAAATCATACCAGCAAGATGGTAGAATCCATAAGCCTGGAGGTTTTGAAGAGCTGGGTGGGCACAACCCAGTCACAGCTGTTGCAAGCCTGTGGACACACAGTCAAAACTAGAAAGAAAAAGCATTTCCAGGGAGAAATGTGACAGTAACATCCTCATTTGTAACAATATCTAGATGCTACAATATGAGAAATCTACCTTCTTCATTTAGTTCACAGAATCATAGAACCCTTAGAGTTGGAAGGGACCTCTGAGAGCCGTCTAGTCTAAGTCCCCTACAATAAACAAGGCCTCTATCAGGTCACCTCACAATTTTTTCCAGGCTGAAGAGCCCCAGCTCTCTCATCCTGTCCTCATACGAAAGGTGTTCCATTCCACTGATTATTTTTGTGGCCCCGCCCTGGACACAGTCCAACAGCTCTATGTCTCTCCTGTACTGAGGACACCAAGCAGTACCCCAGGTGAGGCCTCACCAGTGCAAAGGGGCAGGATCACTTCTCTTGACCTGCTAGTCACACATCTTTTGTTGCAGCCCAGGATATGGTTGGTTTTCTGAGCTGTGAGGGCACATTTTTGGCTCATGTCCAGCTTGCCAGTACCACCTGTACCCCAAGGTCTTTTTCACCAGGGCGCTCAATCCTTTCATCTCCTAGTTTATATTGGTAATGGGGTTCCCTTGACCCAGGTGCAAGACCTTTCACTTGCATTTGTTGAACCTCAGGAGATTCAGCTGGGCCCACTGCTCAAGTCTGTCTAGGTCCCTCTGAATGGCAATCCATCCCTTTGGTGTGATGACTGCATCCCATAACTTGATGTCATAGTTCATCAGCTTCTGAGCAAATACTTCAAAATCCAGGAGGTCAGACAGGAGGTCAACTATTGGCTTGTTCTTTTTTGTCTTCAAAAGAAATCCCTGCAGTTAAATGTTTGGTGGAGAACTTTGATGTGGCAGAGGATAAATGATAATATTTACAAAAGTAATTCAGATTGTATTTTGGCATCACTAGTTTAATGGCAGTGGTTCAGTTCTTCTGTTCCACACAAACGGGAAGGAAAGTGGAAAATTAATAAGTGTGAAAACAATACCCAGAGGAAAATAAAATGTGAGACTGCCCTAAAAGGAGCTTTTATTTTAGTGCACAGTAGCAGATTTTGTTGCCAGAGCTAGCAGTTCCTGCTATCCCTCATCTCAGCTTACTCTGTTTGGCTGGTTTGTCTGGAGTAATAATAATAGAGCTGTAGGTAGCTGAAGTAGTCAAGTGACCCTGGAGAGCACGAAGAGTATGCATTGCCTTTTCCATGGGATTCACTTGCAGCAGAAGAGCTATGCTGAGGAAAGTGTGCCAGAGAGCAGTGGTGATGGTGGTGGAAACGCTGGGGAAGTGACGGTACCCATGTGCTGAAGAGAATCTGTACAAGTGGCAAAAAAGAAATTCCAGAGTCAGGGTGGGATTTCTATGAGGCCTACTCACTGCCAAAAGGAATGTTTGGGGATTGTGTCCCTTTGCCTCCTGCCCCAGCTGGAGACTAACTGCTGCAGGTGGAACAGTCTTCCTGGATGCCTGTGGAAGATCAAGGCCCTCTAGCTCATGGCCTGCCTCTCTTGGGTTGTCTGACATCACATAGAGAAGTCACTGAAAGAGAATTTAATAGGGGATAAGACAGTCTGTGGCCACTGGGCACAGGGCTCAGTCAAACACAATAGCCAGCCACAGTTCACACACGACTGGCCCCTCTCCTACCCCTTCTGCCTGTTCCCCATTTTGTCTATGTCTCTGTTACATTTGTCTGTTAGGTTTGTGCCTCTGTTTATTTTATTACATCTCCCTTTTCCTTGGTATCCCACTTGACAAGGTCCTTGATCAGACAATAGTACTGGAAGACATAGTCTCACATTCTGCATTACCAAACAATGTGATTGTCCAGTTACTGCTTTCATTACATTAGTTTCTTGGGTTTGTGTCTGTCTGTGTTCTTGTTTATAGGTTCCTCCTTTTCTTACCATCCCTTTTTGTGATGAGAAAGTCCTTGGCCAGTCACCCTTAAAGGAGCAGACACTTTCACCTTCCACACATCTTGCAGGATCTGCAGCTCTGCATTGTAAGCTAGGCACTTACAAGGTTTCTTGAAGTTCAGTAATAGATTTCATTAAGAAAAATAATTAAGAAAAATAATGTTACCTATTCACTTATTATCACACAGAGCTAATTTTTTTTCCAGTGTGCTGAAATTCTTCCTTAATGAGGTTCAGAAATCCCATCCTTTCAGATCAGTCAAGCAGAAATTTTTGAATACATGATCACAGGAACAATTTCAAAGTCAAGCAAGCAGTAAAATTTGAAAATGAACTCTCCATTTACACATGCATTTTTATTAGAGACATATTTACCAAACCAAAGAATAAATATTGGAAAGTATAAAATGAATTCACTAAATAATCTTCACTCAATGTTGAAATACTCTATCTGCACTTTTACTGTTTAACTGTGCCTTTCAGAGCTCCAAATGATTCCCAGTTTGAATTTCTGGTGTTTATAATAATACTACTGGCTAATAAGCTTCTGTTGCTAAAGGATACACTTCCAGTATTGTGTTCATTGGTTTAAGTTAACAGACTCCCCATGTTAGAAAATCATTTCTAAGAGATACAAAATGTTAGGAATAAGCCATTATTGTTGACACTGTTGTTAATAAATAGGCAGACAGTTTTTACAATTAGTAACTAACACAGTATGTAATCGTAGTATTGTTCTGGTTTTTGAAAGGTTTACTCCATGTTCATGTATTATGTGGGTGAATATCTCAGTTTTCTTTTATTTATTTCTGAAAATGGTTGTGCAGTTTAAAGTTGATTCACATCTTGTAGCTTGGTTTTCCTATGTCAACTGAGTGTTCATTTGTCCCATGTTAAAACATAATATCTACTTTGGAACTGATTGGCTGTATCAGTTAAAAAGCTGTTAAAGCTGCCACAGCCAATTTTGTACTGAACCAGAGAGCTGTGACTCCAGATTGCTGCTTGTTTGATGTCTTTACAGCTGATTCTGGCTTATAGCTCGTTCTGCAGTGAATGTCTGACAAGAGCCCAACAGTCTAACTCCTTTAGCTGTATTTTTAGCTGTATGTCTAGCAATATTCTTAGCAGTTACTAACAGATAAGAAAATGGTGAATAGAGTTCTGACTGAGAAAGCAATCTAATTTCTTATTAAATTAATATAAATAATTAAAACATCTTCAAAACTATTAAATAATAGTTTACTACTGGAAAGTTGTCACTTGGCAGCTTAATCCTGCTAGTTAAAGTAAGCAAGAAGGTAGAGAAAGCTGAAGATACTACTAGTAGAACACATTTCCATCTAGATTATGTACATAAATCTAAGTGGCTTGTGTGTGACTAATTCTGATGAAGAAAACACCATGAAAAATATGCAGAGATTGAAATGAGGCAGAAGTGATTTCAGATTTGCAACTGTAATCAGGAAAAAAAATATTGGAGGATAAAAGACAGGTATCTCACTTGAAACTTTGGAAAAAAGCAGAGGGGTCAGATGAATAGGTGTAATACTGCAAACACTTTCTCTGAAGAATGCCATGGGCCATAAAAAGAGAAGGCAATTTGAAACAGTAGGAAAACTAAAGTAGGTGTGAAGATAAAATAGAAGAGATAATTAAGGAATTGCTCAAAGCTCTGAAAGATCTCATTTGTGTGGATTTCTTAGTATTTTTTGACCTATTCCTTAGAGAAGGTTTTCTATTACATATGTCAAATCTAAACGTATGGGGCTCCCCTACCCCCAGAACTTGAGGAATGGCTTTAAAAAGCCTGAAATAATCATGCATACTTTCACAGCTTGTTGAAGCCGGATGTGCTGCCTGAAGCTTCATGTTCAGTCAGTGGTTCAGTTAAGGAGACCTCCTTGCTCTGAATGCAAGCACTGAATTAATCCTAAGAAGCATGGGAGACCTGGAGTAAAACACTGCGTAATGTCTCAGGCAAATCAAAATTCCCCTGGAGCTAAAAGCTTCTGAAAGTGCAGGGAAGTAATAAGTATGGTTTACAGAACAATTCGTGCTCTCTTACAAAAAAAAAAAAGGGGGGGGGGGTGGGGGGAGGAGGGAGGAGGAGCATACAGCAAGTCCACATGATAACAGCTGTTTTTTAAATGCTTATTATTCCTAACATTTTACTGTAAATTCAGATTACAAAAGATGACTAGAATTAGTAGCGCTTATCTTTCAGGAGTATTATACTTTAAGTAACCTAAAAGAAATTGTATATTAAAAATTGGTAAATGGTGTTTTGCATGAATAGGTTGGTCTGGAGTTTGAGGAGCCAAATCTTAGGCTCTGTCATGCTTAAAGTAAAAGGAGTTACTGAGTAACCTAGAGTGAGAAGCCATAACAATTGATTGAAAAGAGGTAATCATCAATCCAGACCGAGCTACCTTTAAAGATGGTTGTGCAGAAAAAGGAAATTAGTATTTTAAGTAGATAAATTCTATACAGTGTTGAACAAAATATACACAGACAGCGTTGCCAGTTCATTGGATTTTTCTACCCAAGAGTAAGGATCGCATTGCTTCAGAGTGAGGAATTGGTCATCTAAACTTCCTGACATACTTACCAATATATGGAAGAGCCTTAAAGAGTTAAATAGTATTTTGAAAGTCATACCTATTGTGTGACTTGTGAATACATTGGAGATCCATCTGGATTCTGTCCTATAATGCCCTTGTCAACATGAGTGTGTTGACTACATACAGTGTTCTTCAAATTTGTTCTACAAATTTTTTTCCTATTGCAGAGGCTGTGAACTAAAAATAGTTGAAAATGAATTCAGATATCCTCTGTAAGCAGAATTTGAAACTTTAACTTCAGGCCCCTTAGAGAGAATATAATGATTCTGTGACATTAAAAGGGTATGAGTGTACTGCAAAATTTATTTCTGTTTATTTTCGTGATATTTAGTATCCCTAATGGTTGAATCATTTCTTCACGTCTGAAGACATAAATTTTCTATTTGATAGGCAATTTAAGGATGATTAAATTAAATCAACTGAAGTTCTGTGATCTAAGAAATGCTAAAATATATTAGTCCAAAGACCTATCCAAAAGGCCAAAAACAGATAATAAAAATAATATGTGTTCATGAGGGTATAACAATACTGAGTTACACAAAGCAGATTTTGAGTCTGCTTGAGGAAGAAGCAAAGATCAGTATTACAGCAGATTTATCAGAAAACTGTCACTCCTGTGTCTAAATAGAAAGCCACACTGATTGAAATTAAGAGGAGGTATATTTAAAATAGGAGAGAGACAGTAATTCTCTATTAAGTTGAAATGGATCTACTGAACTCTCCTTTGTGGTATATTACACTGACAAATTGCTTTGTAAATATGGGCTACTATGAAGAGTAACTTTAGCTCTATCTAGCAGGGAAAAAAAGGTTTTATCTCCTAATTCTTCAAGGTAGAAAATGACGTTAGAAGAAGATTTTTACTCATGTTAAGATACTGTAGTTATGAATGCTAATGAGACTTTATAACTTACTACAGAGGCATATATAATTGCTCGAGAGGGGATAATTATTTTTCACAGCATTATGGTAGTTTTAATGGTCTGGCTACATTAATTTTTTAAAAAAGTTTTACAAGAAGTATTTGCTGAAAACCATAAAATATTTATTCATTTCTTTATGGAGTTTCTTTCGGAACATACACACACAAATGTGCACACACAACAAATTTACAAAACTTCCAGTCAAAGGCATTTATGAAAGTCAAGGAAAGTGAAACAGAAAAATTCTTCATTGGGTAATATATGTATTTAGGTTCATTAGATTAGATATTTAGAATAAGTAATGATATTATTATAAAAATGTTGATCAAGCTAGTTTTCTGTGATTGTCTCAGGACATGTGATACTGCTGCAGAGTTATCGGATGTTTCTTCTGGTTGTTGGCTTAACAATCTTGAGTCTATAGTAAGAAAAAATATAAGAAACATACTGTCATTCTCACTCAAGAAAATAGGATGGTATTCTTGCACATCTCTTCGCAAGATTTGAGTGACTTAGCTAAACTTGACATTAGCCTAAATGGAGGTCAGAGGTGCTCTGTATCTCTGACAAGACAGGTCAATTTTTTTGTTATTATTATTATTTTATAGTCCTGCGGCTCCCATAGCAACTTGGTTTTATGGGATGTCTTTTGCAGCAAATTACATAATTGAAGTCAGGATTTAAAAGAATAATGAGCCTCTACAACCACTTTCTCTGAAGCTATTTTGAATGGAGAAATAAAAAAAAAAAAAAAGAAATTATGGAGCCTGTCCACTGCTTGTTAAAAAGGCACAGATTAGATCAATCCATATTAAACCAATCCAGGCATTTGCTGACATCTGTGAAGTTTTTAGCAAGTAACTAATCCTGACAAACAGTGAGATAAATGAGACATGGAAAAAAATGGTTACGCTCTGCTGTGAAAAAGACTGGAAGAATGCACCATGGTTTCTCAGTTTCTAGCAGGAGATTTTATTACTCTGACTAATTCAGATAACCATCTACTGCTTATCCAAAATTTAACATTTCTTTACTTTTGCACAAATATGCAGAGTAAGTTCTGATATTGAAGAAAATCTGAAACCATTCTCAAATGTTTCAGTTTTACAGTGTTCTACTAGGAATATATCTGACTTTCTAATTATTTTTTTTATGATTGTGAAGGTCCAGTGATTTTGTGAAGCTCCAGTGTAATAAGACTAATAATGGAATTTGTTGTGGTGAAGAGTTCTGTTGTCTTTGTTGTTTTTGTTATTGTTCTGTATAAATATAAAAATGATACTTCCTTAGAAAAGAACCCAGGATGACATTATCATTTCATTTCCAAATTCTGTATAGAAGCAGAAAGAATCATCAGACATAAATTAGTTGTGGTTCTGAGATGCATATAAAATAGTTTTAGGCCAAGCCTTCAGCCTTTTTCAGTCATTCCACCATTGCTATTGCAGCACCTTCATGGAAGAGGTGCTTCATTGTTTGTTTATTTTGTGTTATTGTATTGTTTTGTTTGTTTCTTTTTTTTCTTTTTTTTTTTTTTTTTTTCCCCTCAGTCCAAGGCAGAAACGTTGGTGTTCATGGATACCCAAGAATGGGCAAGATTTATTCCACGAAACCAAATTACCATCAACTGGGTCCATACTCATTCTCATTCTCATTTTGGCACTGCACAAAGAGAAAAGACATTTGCATTACCATTGCATTGATTTTCTAGGAGTTAGAGTCGATCTCTATTATTAGGATCTGGTGAATACAGAAGAATTAATGCTACTTGAAAGTTGTAAACCTAAAATAAAGCAAGTCACTTAAACTGCACATTATTTTTTGCTATAAAATCAATTGGACAATGACTTTTTTGGCAGAAGAGTAACAAAATAATTTATATTGTGTATTTAAGCTTTACTACGGAGTCATTAAATGTTATTAGTACAAACCACTTTATAGATATTCTTTATGTAAAGGTAAAAAATATAGGAACAAAGGCAAATTGTGAGAAGAATATGTTAATCTCAAGGAGAGAACAAAAAGTGAGCTGTTAGAAAAATGATGTGAACTTTCTTTAATCTAACATATTTTAAATCAAGTAATGAAGGAGTTTTTTCCATATTTGAGCACACTCATTTGAAGTGATCGATTCTTGTTAGGCAGGGTTAGCCAGAAAGGTTTGTGTTATGTATATACATATCTCTTCACGTGCAAAGATGATCAAAGACATTTTTTAAAATTACTTTTAGTAATGCTGACTTGCAGTAAGCAAATCAGTCTTTTCCTTGGGAAGCTGAAGTGCTAAATTAGTAAAAACAAACACAGTTTTTCACTTTGCTACTTTCACTGTGAAAATATGCTTTGAAAGAATTGTAACCCATAGTGCAGCCACGGAAATAAAATCCATGTTTCTTGTCTGTAAAACAGCATTGTTAGAAATACAATGAAAAACACTACTGATTTCTTTCACCTTGATAAAATGTTAGGAAGTCCCTAATCTGCATTCATGAGTGGAGATGAGAACTTTA